TCAGGCTTGAACCTCTGACAGTTCCCTGTCAGTGTACTGTTGCAGCTGGTTTTTAAAATTAACTTTAGCAAAATTTTACTTGCATGTAATATTAATGATACTGTCTGATGATTACCACATTCTGTTGGATCACCTCTTTTTGGAATGGGCACAAATATGGATCTCTTCAGTTAGCTGACCAGGTAGTTGTCTTCCAAACTTCTTGGCATAAATGAGTGTCTGCAGTGCTACATCAGATTGCTGAAAGACTTCAGTTATATTCCATCAATTCATCTGTCAGTTTGTCATACTGTGGTGGCTTGCGGGTTGCTGTTGATAATGGAAGCTATGCCTCCAGTATTTTAAACACCAGCAGAATGCACCCATGGTGGGCACGTTTCAGCTGAGCTTCCAGATGAAGACAGACGTGGAAGAAGGAGAGATGGACTACTTCTCAATGTTTAGTCACTGAAAACCTTGTGAATAGCAGTGGAACACTGTCAGATAGCACCAGAATCTGAATATTGAAACATGAATAGCACCAGAATACTGTCAGATAGAATGCCAGAAGATGCGCCACTCAGGTTGGAAGGCCCTCAAAATATGACAGAGGAAGAGCTGCCTGCTCAAAGTAGAGTTGACCATGATGACATGAATGAAGTGAAGCTATCAGAACCTTTATTTGCTGATGTGGCAAAGTTTAAAATGAGGAAAAACAGCTGTAAACATTAATTAATAATCAGAACATGCAATGTATGAAGTAAGAATCTAGGCATATTGGAAGTTGTCAAAAATGAAATGGAATACATAAAGATCAATATCCTTGACATTAGTGAGCTGAAATGGACCGGTATTGGCCATTTTGAATCTGACAACCATATGGTGTATATGGCGCCAGGAACGACAAATTGAAGAGGAATGGCATATCATCCTCATCATAAAGAAGATTTCAAGATCTATCTTGAAATATAATGTTGTCTGTGATAGGATAATATCCATATGTCTACAAGGAAGACCAGTTAATACCACTATTGTTCAAATTTACGCACCAACTTTAAAGCCAGTGATGATGAAATTAAAGAATTCAAGGAGCTCTGGTAGCATAGTGGTTACTAATTGGGCTGCTAACCTCAAGGTCGGCAGTTTGAAACTGCTGGCTGTTCTGCGGGAGAAAGATGAGGCTTTCTGCTCCCATAAAGATTTGTAACCTCGGAAACCCTGTGAAGGGTCACTATGAGTTGGAATCAACTCCACGGGACTTAACAACAACCAACTTTTTCAGTCTGAAATTGGTCAAATATGTAATAAAGATGTATTGATAGTTACTGGTGATTGGGAATCAAACGTTGGAAACAAAGGGGAAGGATCAGTAATTGGAAAATAGGGCCTTGGAGATAGAAATAAATGATGCTGGAGATAGTATGATACAATTTTGCAAGACCAATGATGACTTCATTGCAAATACCTTTTTAAGACAATGTAAAAGACAACTGTACATATGGAACTCACCAGATGGAATATGCAGAAATCAAGTTGACTGTATCTGTGGGAAGAGATGGTGGAAAAGCTCCATATCGTCAGTCAAAACAAGGCCCGGGGCAGACGGTGGAACAAACCATCAATTGCTCATATGCAAGCTCAGGTTGAAGCTGAAGAGAATTAAAACAAAAGTCCATAAGAGACAAAATATGATCTTGAACATATCCCACCTGAATTTAGAGGTTATCTCAGGAACAGATTTTAGTGTATTAGATACTAATGAATGAAAACCAGAAGAGTTGTAGGATGACATCAAGAACATCATACAGGAAGGAAACAGAAGGTCATTAAGACAAGAAAGAAGGAAAAGATCAAAAAGGATGTCATTTTGATCTGAAACTTGCACTCCAGCATAGTGATGCTAAAGTGAATGAAGAAATGAGGGAGTAAAAGAGCTGACCAGAAAATTTCAAAGGACAGCTAAAGAAGTCAAGTATTATAATGAAATGTGCAAATTCCTGAAGTTAGAAAACCAGTGGGGAAGAACATGCTCAACATTTCTTTTTCTTTTTTTTTCCTGTGAAGGGATTTCTTTTTTTTTTTTTTAAATCTCTTTGTTTTTAAAGTTTTTATTGTGGATTGAGTAAAAGTTTACAGGGCAGACCATCAGTTTTACATTCAACAAATCATACACCTTGTTTCATTACAATGATTATAGTCCTCGCTCCACGGTACTTAACAACAACAACATGTACCATCAGTTAACAGTATTTCTCTCTATTCACTTTAGCTTTTTTTTTTTTTAAAAGCCCCACTCAGGCATATATTATAATTTATACCTCCAAGGGGCACATTCTGCAAGTTTGCCCCTTTGGCCACCAGCTCTTAGTCCCTCTCTTCTCATGAATCTGGAGTCCACAGTCGCTTCCTCTCTCCATGTCCCCATTTCTGCTTTTGTCTCTGGCATCGCTGCTTCTCTGGATAAGGTCCCACATTCTGCTTGTGCTCTTCTCCCTTGATAGTCCTGGGGTCCACTGTTTCTGGACTGTAAGATTACCCACTCCCCTGTTTTTGTTACACAACTTCTACCTTTATAATTGTGAGAGTCGCAATTAGTCATAACAGTTATTCACTATTGAATCATATGAATTTTATCCCCATCTCTTTTCACCAGACCCATCTAGACAATATGAAAATGATTTAGTGGGGATTCTTTCTCCTCCCCACCCCCCCGACTATTAAACTAAACTCCCTCTTGAAACCTTGTAAGCCAGTCACTTCATGCCTTTATTGCCCCCTCATTTTAGGTAGCCAATGTCTAAGTTGCCCATCCTTATCTACCCTGTGTACAGCAGGGATAGCATTGATACTTGATGTGAAGACTCCTTTTCTGTCAGTATTTAAAGTTACTACTTCTGTGAGTATAGGTCAGGTTCATCAAATTGTAGCAATTTACCCTTGTTTCCTTTATATAAAAAAAAGTGTATATATATTTTGTAATCATCCTGTAGTTGAGTTCTGATTATCAAGCCATCGAGGCTACTGTCTGCAAGTGTGAGTGTTCTTGTGCATCTCCCCTCACTTCATATCAGCTAGATGCTTCACTCTCAGCTCTAGCCCTCTGTGGCTGTGCCCTTGTCCATGGGCTCAAATGTCCCCAGGTTTCACCACACTTTGGACCTACTAGCCCTTCCTCTTCTCTCTGTCATCTCCAGGTCAATAGGGGTCAGTGTACTGTGGTTGAACTCAGCCCATTTCTTCAGTAATCCTTTCCCCCCTCTTCCACTCACCAGTAGACCAATGTGGTCGCCAGCAAGTGTACATACCTGTTTGTGTGTTCCCTTTTGAGTTTCAGTGTTAGAGGAAAGTTTGCCCTGAAGGAACTTGATTGCTTGCCTTGATGGCTTCCTGGCGAGCAGCTTGCTTATTGTTTTTGTAGTAGCCAGTCATGCTGACATTTTTGTTTTGGGTTTTTCTTGATGATCTATCTTTGAAGATGCATCTATCTTCTTTTGCTGTAGCTGTTCCGGGCTGGTCTGTTTGTCCTTTCTAGTGGGAATGTCCCACCTCATAAGGTTCTGGATGGTACTCAGGATTCCACCTAAGGTTCTATACTCTGCAAAGGTTTTGCAAGAAGCCTATTTCACTGGGCAAGTTCTAGAACCCCATTTAGGTGTTCCAAGCTCAGCATTTCTTAAGCTGAAAGAACTGAAGAAAAAATTCAAGCCTCGACTTGCAGTATTGAAGGATTCTATGGTCAATATGTTGAATGATGCAGAAAGCATCAAAGGAAGATGGAAAGAATACAAAGTCATTGTACCAAAGGGAAATGGTTGAGGTTCAACCATTTCAAGAGATAGCATATGATCAAGAGTCAGTGGTACTGAAGGAGAAAGTCCAAGGGACACGAAGGCATTGATGGGATAGAAATTGAAATATTTCAATAAAAATGTTAAGCGCTGCTATTCCCTTGTCCAAGACCTTTATGACTAGGCTATTGTCTGCTTGGAGACTTTTTATTTATTTATTTGTTTTTATTTTAATGTGTATTATTAGTTTTGTTTTTCTTGCTATTGATAAGATTGGTAATAATAATAATAGCCTTGTTGATACTAAAGCAGCTCTGGTGGCACTGTGGGTTATCAGTTCAGCTGCTAATTGCAAGATTGTTAGTTCAAATTTACCAGCCTCTCCTTTGGAGAAAAGTTTGGCTGTCTGCTCCCATAAAATATTACCGTCTTGGAAACCCTAAGGAGCTCTTCCTGTTGCGTTGCTATGAGTCAGAATTGACTGGATGGCAGTGGGTTTGATTTGGTTTGGGTTGTTCACACTAATCTTCACAATCTGGCTGTAGTGACATTGTACCAGTTTCTGTACTTCTCTGACCTCAAAATTTTGGGGAATATCTGCTCTGGTTTTCTACCTTTTTCTATCCTTTGGCTTGGATAGTTGACCTAGTTTGAGCAGTGTCATGTTGATGTATCCACATGTAGTCATGAAATAAATTTTGTCTTTGCAGAAGTCAAATTTTCTACTATTCAACTGGGATGAGTGTGGGAATTGTGGCCTCTTTATTAATCATAATCTTTATACTGTCCAAATTTATGCCCAAGGTAAGTAGTAGAAACTTTATCTGTAGTTAGAATGAGCTTGCACATTCTAAACAGCTGAAGGGCTGTTTGCCTGAGAGGTGTTAAAGAACACTGAAAATTTGCAAAGCAGACAAGTCATTGTCCTACTCTTTCCTGGATTCAGCAAGATACTTTCCACTGTGTAACTTGGAGTCTGAGCGTATACAAACTCTCCTTTTTTTATATAAAGTCCTGTGTTCAGGGATGATAAAAGTTTCCTTCCTGTTTGTTAATTACATAGTTAGACTTTTAAGTTATTTAGAATCTCATTATCCCAGTGATCCTTGCAGGCAGTACCATTTTAAGTATAAAGGACATCTTTTTAAGAAATGTGTTTTTTTGTGTGCACTTTGAGTGGGCTGATTTTTTTTTTTTTTTTTTAAATCATTGTTCCATTTTGCTTCACTAAGGTGTGGAAAGCATGTTATAACTTTTTGCTTACACGTCTACCCTCTGTCCTAGAAAAGTCCCATTTACGTCATCCTGGTTGGTGGCTGGTCCTTTTCTCTGTACCTCATTCAACTAGTTTTTAGAAATTTACAAGAAATCTGGAAGTGCTACTGGCAGTATCTTTTAAGTAAGTGTCAGTTTTATTGTTACTTTTCATATGTTTATAGGCTGTTTAGTTAATTCGTCTTGAAAAGACTGATCTGCTTATAGGAGTTAATAGTCCATGTTATTTTATTAACTTTTAAAAATGAAAATTTTTCATGTAGTTCTAACCAGCCTACAATTGTCACCTCTTAAATTAAATGATGCTGCTAGGGAAAAGACTTTAATTTGTTGGAATTTATAAGTGTATGTCTCTTTACATTGTAACCTTCTTTCTGAAAAGTTGTGCATTGCTTTTATTAATTTAGTTATATTTTATATAATACCCTTGGGACCCTAAATAAAGGACTCAGTGAATCTACAAAATAAGAATTTGATTAGACATAGAGTAACCCCTTGAGTATATCCTTTGAGAGATGATTAATCTGGATTTTCATATATTGGTGTTTTAAATAGACAATTTCAGAGTTATTCAAGATGTACGAGGGAAAGTTAAAAATACTGCTAGTAGGTTTCCAGTTCATACGTGCAGAGATTTATTCCAAGCAGACTGTGTTTAAACATATCTCTGTGCTCACTGGGTGACTGCACTTCTCTCATAATACCCTTATGTTGTAGTCTTGTTAGGGTGACTTCAGAAAAAAAGTCCGATAAAGTTCATGACTTCTGAGGGGATCTGCTGGGCCAGTTAAATTCAAGGCAGACAGGTCAGCTCAGAAGATTATGATAAATGTGTTTTTGAATTTCAAAGGGGTGATCTAGATAGATTCTCTTGAAGAACAAAGGATAATCACTGGATCTTACTGTGAAGACATTGTAAGAAAATTGAAAACTGCAGTGGCTGAGGCATTTTTTTGCATCATGACAATGCCCCTGCTCAGTCTTCAAGTGTAGTAAGGGTTGTCTTATGGACATTTCATTGGAAAACCTGATCCCATCCATTCCCCAGCCTTGATCTTGCCCATTCAGACTTCTTTTTTGTTCCTAAAGCTCAACATTTAAAAGGAACACAATTTGAGTCCTTTAAAGATGCCCAAGCTGCCAGTTTGAACTGGTGTACATTGAAGTGGACAGACTTCTTCGGGGAAGGGTTAGAGAGCTGAAAGTGCCACCTTTAGAAGCGTGTAGACCTAACTGGAGGGAGGGTATGTCAAGAATCAAGATTCACAATTTGATTTTTTTTGTTTACTGAAGGTTTCTGTTGCAATGTATTTTTATACTTTTACTGTGAATTGAGTGAAGGTTTACAGACAAGATCATCAGGTTTGCATTTGACAAGTCATACACTTTGTTTTTTCTCAATGATTGCAATCCCCCTCCATGCAACAGCAGTTTTCCCACTTCCCCCCTGTGGTTCCTGTTTCCATCCCACCCTCCTTCCCATCCCCTCTCAACTTTGTCCTTTGGTAAAGTTGCCCTTTGATTTTCAATGATTGCCCATTCATGGTGATCATACCTTACTAGTGCTGTTGTCCTCTTATATACCTATATATTCCATATATATATACACGCATACACATGGAGTCCTGGTGTGTGTGGCATTGTGGGCTAATGCGTCAGACTGCAAAGCCGTTTGAACTGTAAGGTCGGTGGTTCAAGCTCACCAGCTGCTCCTTGGAAACCCTATACAGGGTTGCTATGGGTTGGAATTGACTCAGCGACACTTAACAACAACAACAAATACACACACACACAATCTATATACTGCTTGGCTGGAAATTGGACCATGATGGTGAATTCCTTTCCAGACCTGAGGGCCATTGTCTCTGGTTCCTCCAATCTCCTTCTGACCAATAAGCCCAGTCTATTATTTATTTATTTTTTAAAAATAATTTTGAGTTTTGTTCTACATTTTCTCCCACTCTCTCTGGGACCTTCTAATGTGATCTCTTTCAGAGCAGTTGGTAGTTGTAGTTGGGCACCGTTTAGATCTTCTGGTCTCATATTTCTGGAGACTGATGTTCACATGTTCCACTACTTCATTGGACTAATTTATTCCAAGCATCTTCAGTTCTCATCATTCATCTTGCTTGTGCACATGTAAAGACCAATAATTGTACCTTAGATGGCCACTTATGAGCTTTTAAGATCCCAGAAGCTACTCACCAAAGTTACTGTTGTTGTTAAGTGCCATCAAGTCAGTTCCGACTCATAGGGGCCCTGTCTTATCGTTTCCAAGGAGCGACTGGTGGGTTTGAACCTCTGACCTTGCGGTTGAGGGCACAGAATATTGTCTTTGTGGACTATGTTATGCCAATTGACCATGTTGTCCCCTGAGACTATTAAGATCCTGAGCCCCCAGACCCAGCAACTCATTGCTGTAAGATATTTGATAATATCTAAGAAGTTTTCTCATTTTGCCTGCTGTATGTGTAATAATACTTTTTGGCTTACCTTCATATCTTTATGTTGCATTTGAATCAAATATGTTTGGGATGACAGCAATGATAGGAGCCTACAGATGTAACTCTCTGTCTCTGTCTCTCTCTCTTTATATATATTTATATATACACACATACATACATATATATTTTTTAATGTTTTATTGTAAATTATGTGATAGTTTACATGGGAGAACATTAAGCTTTGCATTCATCCTATTGTATATCGTTTCACTGCCATGGTTACAATCCCCTCCATACATCATCAACCAACCAAAAGGTATATACCCTGCAAGCCTGCTCCCTGGTCATCAGCATACAGCTCCTCTCCCTCCCTGGGTGTAGAGTGTCCAGCCGCTCCATCTCTCCACGTCATGGTCTCTGGCGTCACTGTTCTGGGTAGGGTCCCACACTCTGCTCTTCTTCCTTGATGGTCCCAGGGATATCTGCTCCTGGACTGCAAAGTCAACCAATTCCCTCTTTTTGCTACAAAACATCTACCTTTACATTATCAGCCCTCACAGTCAGTCCTGATAAGCAATTATTTACTGTTGTACCACATGAGTGCTACCCCCATCTCCTTTCATCAGCCTTGCCCAGACAGATTGGATACTACTCAGTGGAGAGTCTATCTTCCTCGACGCCCTCTAGATCTAGGCTTCCTCTTGAAAGCTTGTAAGCCAGTCACTTCTTGCCTCTGTAGCCCCTCATTTTGGGTAGCCAATGTCCAAGTTGCCCATCCCTGTCTATCCTGTATATGGAGGGGGTGGGAATGATCCTTGCTGTAAAGATTTGTTCCCTCTTTTGAACTACTGCATCCACAGGTGTAGTTCAAGTTCATCAAATTGTATCAGATTACTCTTTTTTTCCTCTTCTTTCTTCTTCTAGTTGAGTTCTTTTCATCCAGCCATTGAAGCTAGGTCAAGTGGGTATTATCTGCAAGTGTGGGTGTTCTTGTTCATATGCCCGCCCTCTCTTATCAGCTGGAGGCTTCACTCTGCACTCTAGTCCCAGGAGTCCCCAGGTCTTGCCATATTGCTGGCCAGCCAGGTCTCCACCCAGGTTCACAGGAGTCTATAGAATGTTGTAGGGCTTAGCTCGCAGCTTCACTGCTGTTTTTCTCTCACTTCCCCTTATCGGTGACCAATGTGGTCACCAGTCAGAGCACACGTCTGCTCGTGTATTCCTATTGAGTCTTAGTCTTGGAAGGGAGTTTGCCCTGAGCGGACCCGACCACTTGCCTTGGTGTCTCCTGGGCGAGCAACTTGCTAGTTCTTGTAGTAGTCAGACTGTGGTTATTGTTTTGTATTTTTTCTGTCAGTCTTTCTTTCAAGAAGTATCTTCTATTCTTCTAGCCACTCCAGGCTGGTGTGCTTGTCCTTTCAAGTGGAGATTTCCCACCTCAGAAGATTCTGGATGGGGATCAGGATTCCACCTATGGTCTTATGTAATGCAGAAGGCTCTGCAGGAAGCCTCCTTCACTGGGCATATTGTAGCTCCATTTTAGGTGCTCCAATCAGTTATAGGCAGAAGACAGACTTACAAGCTTTCTATGGTGTTATTTCTGGCTATTCCATTCTCTGCCCCTCAAGTGTCTATTTTATAGTGATATTCAAGGGAAACCAAGATTCAAAAGACAGCCAAGCATCTTAACATTATTTTCCCCCTTTTGCCCATTCCAACCATTGTAACTATATTTTAATAATAAAAAAGGTATGAATACATGAGTAAAGATCTTGCCTGATTTCCTGGTTCAATAGATGCTATATAGTGAATTTATATATAGCTTCCCCCACCCTCTTACCCCCTGGATGACTTTTACCAGGTACAGAGGAAAAGAATGTCTTCTGATAACTCTTTTCATAGGCTACATCTTCACAGTTGGATTCATGAGTTTTGCAGTGTGTTACAAGTATGGGCCCTTGGAGAATGAACGAAGTATCAACCTGCTGACCTGGACTTTGCAGCTGATGGGCCTGTGTCTCATGTATTCTGCCATCCAGATACCACACATTGCCTTTTCCATTATTATCATTGCACTGTGCACCAAGAACGTGGAGTATCCTATTCAGTGGCTGTACATCACCTACAGGTGACTGAAAGGCAGTGTAACTTTGTAACAAGTGCAATTTGGGATACAGTTACAGCAAAAGGACACAGAGGTGTAAGACTGGGAGGCTCTTTGTTAATGAAAAATTGTGGTGTTATGCTTCTGCATTTGTTGTGTATTATTTTAGCTGTCTCTAGACATTTTCTAGTAAAATGGTATGTGTTCCTGTTACCACTAGGTGGTGCTAATGGCAACTTTTTACACCACATATACCAGAGCACCTGGTTTCAGAGTGTTTCACATTTATGCTCAGGTTGTCTGGGAGTCCAAGTCTTATTTTAAGATATAACTTGTAGCATGCTATCATGTAGCGTTGTGAACATGGGAAATAGGTTCTTCTGCGGAAGGCAGTCAAGGTGATACTTTCAGTTTGAGGAAGCCAGTTAATGGATCACAATCTTACACTAACATTTTCTTACTGTTTTTCCATGTATTCGAAACTAAATAAATATTTTATCACTTTAGAAAATAAGTAAATTTATTCACATTAATGACTAATGTTGACTCTTATGACTTGTCAAGAGTCCATTCTAGCTAAAGATACCTTTGGCAGAAAGGTGGGAATGGGATGACTCTTAATGTTCAGCTGTCTGCTGGCTCACTGAAGGGAACTAGAGGTAAGGATGGGTAGAGATTACTGATTAATGATTCATGATATTATTTTGATGAGCACAGAAAGATGTGTAAGGCAACAGAAAAGCCTGTCCCCCCTCGCCTTCTGACAGAAGAAGAGTATCGGATACAAGGAGAGGTGGAGACCCAAAAGGCTTTGCAAGACCTTCGAGTATTTTGTAGAAGCCCAGACTGCTCTGCTTGGAAGACTGTGTCTCAAATCCAGTCTCCAAAAAGGTAAAGTCTTGGCCAAATATACCAAGCTTTTATCAGGGTGACTGACCTAGATTGTGGACAGAGACCATACTTTTAAATAGTCGTTTTGTATTTGTGGCTTTTGTTTTCCTGTTGACCTGAGAGTAGTCGAGAGAAAGGTATGAATGTTATATGTTCAGTTGTAGCACATTTCCTCCAGCTTTCATTGTAGCATTGAGATGGAAAGACACCAATACCATACCAAGTTTCTCCTTCAGTAGTTTTTATTGCTATCTTGAGTGATTTTGTTAGTTTGTATATTTTGGTTGGGAGCAGAAGTGTACAGTGAGTATCTAAACTTCAATTTAGAATCCTGATGGCATAAATTCTCTAGGGCTTTAAACATAAATGTATAATGTCCCTTAATTTTCTATTATCAGGATTACAGAAGACTAATGGAGTGGGATGGCATCATACAATAAGCACTGGACTTCGAACCACAGGTTCGAGCCTGCCAGCTGCTCTGCAGGAGAAAGATGAGGCTTTCTGCTCCCTTGAAGTTTGAAAGCCTCGGAAACCTTATGCTGGGTCACGATGAGTCAGAACCGACTTGATAGCACTTAGTAACAACAGCAATGGAACGTTAGCACTTCCATGACTACAAAAGATAGTCTGGTGTTTGTGGTTATGTGCCGTGGCATTGGTTCTGACTATAGTGACCCTGTACAGGGTTTCTGTGGAAGCAGAAAGCCTCATCTTTCTCCTGCATAACAGCTGGTACTTTTGAACTGCTGATCTTGAGGTTCGCAGCCCGATTCGTAACCGCTACGCATATTAAATAAGCTGGAGTTGTAGGGCATATTGGTCTATAACTCCAGCTTTATGTTTCTCTTTATTTGTTTAGTCCTTGAGCAAGGACTGAAATATTGGCTCTATTCAATATTATTTGAAGTGTGGACATATCACGGGCATCAGTGTGTTTATATTTTGGTAGAAAGAAAAATGTACAGGTTCTAAATGACTATTATTTCTCTCTTTTCCAGATTTGCTGACTTTGTGGAAGGCTCCTTCCATCTCACTCCAAATGAAGTTTCTGTCCATGAACAGGAGTATGGATTTGGGAGCATGTTTGACCAGAGTGAATTCTTTGAGGGCACATCGTCGGAGGATGAGAACTCAGATACTCAGTTCCCTGCTGTCACACATAACAGCTTCCTGGTTTAGGTGGTGCTCAGTGATTTTTATGTGGACTGGCTTGAGATCTGGGTAATCCATGTTGCACATGTTGTGCAGTTGCTTCCCAGGCTTTTGAAATAGGGTGATGTAATGAAGAAATTTTCCCATTGAAATTAGAGGCTTCCCTCTGGAAGTGGCTAGGTGGTTTCTGTGGGATCCTGGAGAAGGAGGACAGGCGAGTCATGAATGCTGCCAGCAGTTTGCCTTCCACTGGCTGAACTATTATCCCACCTGTATGTTCGCGGAAAGACTGATGGCTAGTATACCGTGCACAACTAGCATAGCATTCTGGTGCCTCTTTGAAAGTTGGTTAATTGTGTATTTCTGTCTGTACAAGGGACTTCAAAGAGTTTGTGGTGAAATGGAATGAAAAGATAATAGAAATTTATACAACCTTTTTGAAGCCCCTCATATCTTCCCAGTAGGGTAATTTTAAAACATTTGTGGCATCTTTTGCCTCTGGCTGACCCTCAGGAATGAGAAGACTTAAGTGCAGTAATGCTTCTAGACTATGGGCTGCACCTTCCATAGAGAAATCCACAAATCTGAGCCTCTTTCATTTCTCCTTTTATTTCAATGACTTTAGAAGAAGTCTTGATTTAGCACTTTCTAGAAGAAGATGGGAGTCCTGGTGTTGCACTGTGGGTTACTATACCAGACTGCAAAGTCGGTTGAACTACAAGGTCGGTGGTTCAAGCTCACCAGTCACTCCTTGGAAACCCTATACTGGGTCATTATGGGTCAGAACCGACTCGATGGCACCTAACAACAACAACAGAGGAAGATGAGCTTTTGTCTGTCTTGTTTATTAAACAGATATATATTTTAAAATATCACCAAGTCATGTTCCGGAACTAGCAAATGTCCCAGAGTAACAAAGCCCAGAGGCTTCTGCATATTTATTAACATGATTGTCTGTTGAAACCTTAGGAGGCTTTGTGATTGGCTGAGTTCTCAAACATAAAGCTATTTTGAGTTCTGCTTGCCTTAGCGGGAACATGTCTGTAGGTTCTTCAGGCAAACTCTGTAGGTCTTTTTATTATATTCAACTTTTTATTCCATCTTAAAGATACATTTGCACCCTTATAATTCCTCCTGATCTGCCTTTTGCCCTTTCAGAAAGTCTGTTGTTTAACCTGGGAAGTGTTTACAATTAGTGTTTCATTTCTTAAACCCTGTTTCTTTCAGTTTATAGCGTTACTCAGTTTATCCTAGCTAGGAGAAGTGATCTTACTTGAGGGCTTTAAATATTTTTCACAGGTTCTCCATTTATCCTGTCAATGGGTCACATATCTTTTGGTTGCTATGGAATTAAGAAACGATCTCCTTTCCCTTCCTTTGTTTACTCGTTCTACCCATTTCTTTCAATCTTCTCACCACTTGTACTCCCTCAAATATATATTATGCCCTGGTGTGGTCGGCAGTTCCAGCTCACCAGCTGCTCCTCGGAAATCCCATACAGGGTTGCTATGGGTTAGAACCGACTCAATGGCATTTAACAACAATTATATATATATATATATAGCCAAAGTTTTTTAATACATAAGTTGTCTCTTATTGTGTCTGCCACAGTTTGCTTTGCTAGGAAAGAGACCTCCAGGTAGTCTTCATGCCTCTGAATGCTCATTCAGCCATTATGATCCAGGATTGGACACATTTTTCCATGATCTTATTATACTCATTTGCAGTTTTAGTTTTGACTGGTGAGTTATGCTACCTTTCACTAAAATGACATTAATTTTAGGTTCCTTTGCTGTTATAAACCAGCAATTTATGTGGGGGCAGATTCCTGCATATCTGTCATTTGCTTGGTCCTGTCTTCATGATCTTCACCCTCGTACCTTGGGAATAAGCTATAATTACTTTAGCCAGTTTGTAAGATAAACACTCATACCAATAGCACAGCATCATACTGGCTTACCATAATCATGGGGAAGGCAGATGATGTTTTAAAAAAATCTCTAGTGACACCTTCAGAACAGCTGTTTAGCAGATAATTCTGAAAGGCCCCAGGTTTATTTTGCTAATTTCCAAAATTTCAATTCCAAGACTCCTTTCCAGGTGGCCAGCTGATTATTTCTACTGGTGTTTCACACAGCTTTAAATGATCTTAAAGTGACAACTACCTCAGTTGGTAGCAAATAAAGTATAAAGTATTTGGGCAGATGTAATGGGGTAAAGTTGGTGGGTGAAAAGTAGCTCTATAAAGATGTCAATTTGAAGACTGAGGTGTACTCAATAAAAATTAAAGCAATTTTTAATTGGGTAATTAAAAATACCCAAGCCATGGTATCTTTAATAGTCTTTTATGAGTGTGAAAGTTGAACAATGAATAAGGAAGACTGTAGAAAAATTGATGTGTTTGAGTTATAGAGTTGGAGAAAAATATTAAAATTACCATGGGCTGCCAGAAGAACAAACAAATCTGTGTTGGAAGAATTACAGCCACAATGCTCTTTAGAAGCCAGGATGGCCAGACGCTGTCTCATACTTGGGACATATTAGGAGGGACCAGTTCCTGGAGAAGGACATCATGCTAGGCAAAGTGGAGGGTCAGCGAAAAAGAGAAAGACCCCCAGTAAGACCACTTTGCACAGTGGCAGCAGCAGTGGGGACAGGTGTAACAACCTTTGTGAGAATGGTGCAGGATCAGGTAGTGTTTCGTTCTGTTGTGCACAGGGTCACTGTAATTCGGAACTGACTCGACCACAGCATACAGGGAAAGCTTGATGCCTTTATGAATTGTGTACATGGTAAAATACTATTCCTCTGTGAAATATTGTTAAACCTCCAAGATATATTATTTTTGCCTTATTTATAAAAACTGAGACCTAGCATATTTGTGCAAAAGTTGTTTTGAAAAAATAATTCAGCTATACAAGCGGTCTCAGGACTCCCTGGAGACTTTGGTGCCTACCTCAACATAGCTGCTTAGGGAGGATGGTAGCTTGCCTCCAGGGTGACTTTTCCTGCCTGTAGTCTTTATTTTAGTGATAAAAGATTATGACATAGGGAAGAGTTACCTCTTTTTCTGTTTACTAACATTGTGAAATCATTTCCATCTCAAGACCAATTTTTTTCACTGTGTTTGAATTTGGGGTGAATGAAGAAAACACAGTTTATTCTCTGCCTAATGATTGGAAACTTAAGCCGTGGGCAGCAGAGATGACAATTGGTCCTACAGCATGTGAGCTGCTCCCAGACAGTGAAGGACAATGCTACTGCGGTGTGCTGAGTGTCCTTGCCCTGCCTGCCTGTGTGGCTCTGCTCAGATGCTTCAGAGCTTCCGTGTGCCCGGAGATTACTCGACTCCTTCAGCCCTCCTTAGGAGCTGCTCTTGTCTCCCTCTTTGCCTCTTAGTCTGCTGGCTCAGTCACTACTTGAAGCCCCCATTTAATTTTCTCTGGCAGTTACGGCTCTTGCAATTTCAGCATAGTCTCGTCTCCTCCCAGAACAATCTCATCAAGAAGGATTGAAGGGATAACTATGGAGTGAGCTGGTCAGTGGAGCCAGGTCTGCTGCCATGTCAGCGTCTTGCTTGGCAAATATCAAGCTGTAAATTGGCCCTGGGGCTTAGGGTTTCATCAGCATTGGAAATCGTTCACGTCTATTTGGTCTGGCCAAGTTGTATAGAGGATGACTTCCATTAATGGAAATATAAGTGGTCTAAATCGTTTCCCCTTCATGTTTCCATTCAGCTTGCTTTCATGAGACCAAAGGAACACAGTGACCCAAAACAAGGAAAATCTAGCCACTTTGATATATTCTAATAAATTCCTGTCAGCCATCGAACCCCACGAAAACAATTTGATTTCTCCTCCCAAATTCATGAGTTTTATGTCTGTTAAGAAGGGGATTTTGCTGGTGATAGGTCTTTTGTCCCAATATTCTAATTTGTGTTAATATATCCCATTCTATGGCCCAAACCTCTCTTCATTGTCTTCACTTTACCTTAGTCCCCAGTTGGCATATATGATAGAGGTTTGATGAATGTAAAGACCCAAATAGGCCAGATAGTCATCCCAGGCCTTGATATTCATAAAAGCCTTGGGAATGGGTTACACAATCACTTTCAGTCTTTTTGTTGTTGTTCCAGAAAACAGATGGGCTCAGATGGACACTCATGTAAAAATGGTTCCTAACTGTGCTCATAACTTTCCTCTGAATTGGGTAGTGAAAGTTGAAGTAGGAGGAAAGGAAATGAAATGTCCTTCTAGTATTCCTTTGGACTCTGCTCTGACATATGAGATAATAACCTGCATTGAAACGCCAGAGATTCCATCTGAACCAAGGAGGGGAGCATCTGACAGGTTTATTGTCCCTCCATGTTCTATAGGCACTTAACCCAAGTAATAAACATGTGGAATAGCCATTGCACAAGAGAGTGCACTCCCAAAACTCTTGCTTCTGTTTCAGTGTAGCAGACATTTTTTTTTCTTTCTTTCTTTCCTTTTTTCTGGGGGTGGGGTGGGGTGGGGAACCTATGCAATTGTGGTCACCCAGTGGTACTTTGCTTATGGATTCAGGTTTCTATTGAGCTGATCTCTAGATGGTTACTACCTTGCAAACGAGTGTTCGATGCCTTAAGTGATGGGAGCCAGAGCTTGCTGGGAATAAACAACAGATACTCACGCCAACATCAACCCACAGGTTTTAGCCGGGCACGGAAATGGTTCCTGTACAACTTCCCAAAATACGGGACTTTTGACTCCCACACGCTCTGTCCATGTCTTCCTCTTCACACTCTGGATAACTTGAAAATGGTGAAATCACTTTCTGTGCACTTTCCTACAGTATGAGAAACAGTCTTACCATGTTAACATAGCAGCTCAGGACTTATTAGAACTGTAACAGCTTGCAATTGCTTCAATTTTCCATGTTTCTGGAACTCTTGGTGAAAGAGAATTACTGGGTAAGTGTTAGCCTGTGGGAATGTCTTGGTGTTAGTTTAAAAAAGCAAAAAAGATTTGTCATTGTCATTTATATTG